TGTGTTCGATCGATTTCAAATTGTGAAGACCATTTCCCCCTTCAAAAAATATTTCTATATATGCATTTGTGAACTGTTGTTTACGATATTCGTAATAATGTTTGTTTAATCACTTTATTTCGACTTTTTTTTTTGCTAATTACGTATTCGCTCGAACTTTGTTAAAACTTTAACTGTATACCGAACAACAACCGAAGTTGTAGAAGGAAATTCGCCTATTTTACCGATCTAGGGATCTCCTTTTCCAAATTTTAATATCATCTAACAATTTAAAAAGACAAATTACAATAAAACGGTTTATTATCCAACTATCAGAAATTTCACAACATGCCAAGGAAGAGAGAAAGGAGCAATTAAATAATTAAAATTATAAAGGATTTAAAAAAAATATATATATAAAAATGGGGAATATCGCGCTTCTGACAATCGCAGCGAGTCTGTGAGCTAAATTTGGAGAATCCGTGCTTCTCGCATGGACAACTGTATGTGGCTGGCTCACGCGTCGAAAAACCTTCCGATTTATTCGTGTACGCACCAGACGGAAAAACAAAAAATAAAACAAGAGAGAATAGAGAGAAACCACATTCCGTTGCCATATTGATTACATCGTCGCTAAGGTCAAGAAAATAAACTACAAGCTGCTAAAACGTGCTAGATGCACCTGGGAACTAAATTATAAAGCTTGTAAAAATCTATATAATGGGGCAATATAACTAATGCTACTTTACATCGCCTCTAGCTAGGGTCATGTAACTAGTAAAAATTCAGTTGTAAGTAAATTACTCTGTCTTGAAAGACAGTTTGCCACCAAGTGCTGCAGAACTGTTTCTACTAATGTCTCTCTGATACTAGCAGAGCTTCTTCCTATACACTATGTATTTAAAAAAGGTTCTAAACTACTACATCAGAACTACAAACATCAAGGCCCAACAACAGTTTCTACTCCTATCTACGGCTGTTCATATGCTACCACATTTCAATTACCCTACTATCCGTTTACAGGATGATCCTGTAAACAAGGTTATCTCCAGGGTACATTTAGTGTCATCTGCTTCCTCCATGGATTACCATGCAGACATTAATATCTACATAGATGGGTCAAAAAGCCCCATTCGTGTTGGCTTAAATATCTGTATCTTCCTCCAAGAAGGTACAGATAACCCCCACATACCTCCATCTATCAAGCTGAAGATGCTGTCTACCAAACTGTTCAGTGCGCCACTTCACTACCAAACAAAACTCTGTCTATCAACATTTACAGTGATTCTAAGTCTGTCCTAAAACCTCTATTACATCCCAATTGCATTAGCAATAAAATCACATATCCAGCACCATATTAAAAATCTTGTAAATAAGATAACTTTTATATTTGTTCCTGGCCATACTGGCATACTAGGAAATGAAAAACTCGACTTTGAGGCTAAGTCAGCTGCAAAGGACACTGACTCGGACTACACTCACATCCCTCTCTCACGCTGTAGCAGCCTTAAAAATTATATCCATGGCAACGCTATGCAAAAGTGTATCAACAATGGTTGAGCAGTACAACTGGTAGAATAACAAGACTTTATTTTCCTAGTGTTGAATGCAGGTTCTCATCATCACTTAGAGGTTTAACATTTGCTACTGCTCAACTACTTACCGAGCATGGTAATTTTAGAAGTTACCTGGTGATGTATAAACAGGCAGAAACTGCTTCTTGCTTTTTGCTCTACAGAAAACCTAGACACCATCAACCATACAATCTATCATTGTCCAATTTACGATCAAGATATACTTATTCTGAAATTAGAAATCTTTATGCTTGGTTTCAGGTGGCCATGTCCACTTGATAAGCTTGTTCAGAAGCCACTGTTTGATGCTTTTTACAATTATGTTCAAAAAATATGGAAGAAAAGACTATTTCTAATTTCTACTTTTACATTTTAGTTATCACTAAAAGCAGAATACTAATTTTATGTTTACTTTGTATCATGTATTTTGGTTTATGTATTCTTAGTGTTATGCACCCATAGGAGTGGTGCACTTATTCTAATAATAAAAAAAAAAGAGAGAGAGAGAGAGAGACTATCACCCATTATGTCACAAGAGATGGCATTAGTACAACAGCATTCTTAATAGAAACCGCCAAATTGAAGCCAAATTCAATCAAAACTTCACCACTCAACGAGATCAAAAAATAAAAATAAGAATATTACGCAAGACAAGATCTATTGCCCCCTACCCCCGAGTAAAAAATCCTTGACCCCCCACCCGCCCTAAATACCTTAAGTAATTTATGTACGGCCCCTAACTAATTTCGCAGCATTCTGCTGAGTACAGTAATACCCCGAACTTGCTGAAAGTGTTAATTTCTGATTTTTATTATTATTTTTACAATTTTATTTCCACAATTTAGTGAAAATATGTTTATTAAAAAATTCAATATTTGTTTTATATTATATAAATAACATCAACATAAAGCCCGATTGGTATACATCCTAAACATCCAAAAGATCGCCTAAATAACGGGCTATAATATGGCTACTTAAAATGATTAGAACCAAAGCAATTTGTCTTAAGAGGTAAGCGTTATGCGCCATCTCGTAACTAAATTAATAATTAAATAAATAAATAATTAATTAAATTAAATTTAGAACCTTCTGGAATAAATGATATAGACATTTTTATATTATATTTATATTATTTAATAAAAACGCGGTACAGAACTACGGTTCCCATGCATTTCGGCTGCAACTGAACTTTTGCTTGCCCATCCCTGATTAGACATTCAATTTTTTAATGACACCAAGTAATCGGAAATATTTATAATAATTTAAATAAATTACTTGGCAAAAACTTATATACGTCGTTTTAAGTTATCCTATATTGAAAGACCAGTCCTATAACTTGGTAAAATTTTTAAATATCTGTAAGGCCGAGTCGTAAAAACGGGCGTAAAAACCTTGGCCGTAAAAGCTTTTAATCACGTGACCATGATATTTTAGGCCCGAGCGGTGTTCAGGTCGTAAAACCAGCGTAAAAGCGAGTTGAGCAGTGTTCAAATTTCGAGGCGAATACGGCCGTAAAACGGTACTATCCATCAATCAGAAGTTAGTGAAATCTAGGTCATTGTGATGGTGCGAAAATGGCGGAAAACGAGCTTTTGTGTACGATCCCTCGTGGCTGCTCTAGAATTGATCTGGAAAGAATTATCGAAAACATCCGAAAGTGTTCGTGTATCTACGACAAGAAGTATCCCGATTATAATAATGGACGCCTAAAACACGCCATATGGGAAAAAATCCTTCAATTTAGCCCGGATTCGATCCCAAATCCTCCAGACAGGTGGGCCAAGACCTCTACTGCCACGACCATCACCCTTTTAATCATTATTACACAGGGACTAATTCAAAAATTAAAAATATAAAATTAATCATTAAAATTTCTATCTACTTCAATTAACGCGTAACAATGAATCTCAACAATTGATCTTTTCATTGTTTTGCTCTTTTGTTGCTAAGAGTGCGATTTCGAGTGATTGAAAAATGTTTTTTGATTCTGGCCATTATCGACCCTTGCGTCCACCCTTGGGGTAAGAGATTTTTCACATTTTATTGTTATTTATGCAAATAAGAAATTTATTCGAAAAATTAATGGATTTAAAAAGAAATTGCTCGGTGCGAATGATAATTAATTAAATTTAAGTTAAACTGTGTATTAGGATAATCGATGCCATTAAATTTTGCTTGTTAAAGGTCGAGGGGTGGGGAGATAAAAGAGGACATGTCTGATCTCGAATAGGGTCGGACCTAATGACAATTTTATTCTTTGTTAGCATTTACAAATCTATATATATAAAATTACTTGTCCTGACTGACTGACTGACTGACTGATTCATCATCGCCCTGAGCAAACAGCTGAACCTAAAGAGATGAAATTTGGTACACAGTTAGGGCACGTCATGAAAACGCACACTAAGAAGGGATTTTTCAAAATTCCCCCGCGGGGGGGGAGAAGGAGAGCATTAAGTCTTAACCGGAAAAACGGCTTCTACTGTACTATTTTAGATGCGATTTTTTATTTTATCTGCGTTTTAGTAGGGTATGCCATGGCAATGCACACGAAGTAGGGATTTTTCGATATTCCCCCTCGGGCGGGGAAGAGGGAGAGGATTTAGTCTTAATCGAGTACTTAGGTGTATTAAATTAATAACATTTCAGACATTGTTATAAATATTTTTATCTTTTTCGATTTTAAAAATGTTCGAATTGTTTTAAATTCGAATTTGTTATTGCATATTGATTCGATTATAGAACGATTGTAAACATTCCAGAAAATTGATCAAATTGAAATTCGTTTGATTCTCGGCAATTCTCATCATTCTCAGCGGTAGGTGTTATATAACAATTATTATGGTTGTTGAAATACTGTATATAAATGAGGTTTGCTTCCAAAATCCGGGCAGGCAAAGCCGCAGGTAACAGCTAGTTAATTCATAAAAGTAGCTTAAATATTTCACATAAAAAATTTTATAAATAAGCATATTCATTGTTTCGATCTACATTGTTAAAGAAACAATATTTATCGGAAGACAATGAAAAATATTGTTTCGGTATTGTAAAAGATTTACTTGGCAATTATTTCCGAGTCTAATCGTTTGGACTTTCGCAAGGCTATGGACTTTCTATTAGTACAATGGTTGAGTGCCCAGGAGCACGCCGTGCACTTCCGTGGGACCCGGGAACTCAACCGTTGTAGCAATTGAAAGTCTATATCCTTGCGAATTCCCAAACGATAGATTTGGAAATCATCGCTAAATAAAGCTCTTACAATACATACACTTCGCGCGCGATCCAGTTTTTCTCTCTACTTGCTACGCTGTCTAGCAAGTAGGGTTGGTTTCTGGAAACAAAAAAAAACACCACAAAGTGGGTGTCACCTTGACGTGGTTTTGTGGCTTAAGTGAGAAAATTTTATGATCATTCTGCAAATAGAATTTTCTACAAACCAAGAACACCCGACAGCATTAATTTTTCAAGTTTTCAGAGCTTTGCAGTTAAGAAACTAACATTTCCATGTAACAGCAGGTAACGGATTTGTTCTGACTTCTTGTGCAAATAACAAATACCTAAGTATTTTCTAAACGAAACATTTGTCTTTAAACGCGATGCTAGGCTTGTTCTGGATTTGTTAATTTTGCGAATTTTTAAATTAATAATAAAAGTATCAATAATTAAGATTTTTTTAAAAGAGTGACCAATTTGCTCTATACGAATTGTAGTACAAATTTGGTTCTTTGCTACTGATAATTTTTTGTGTTTTCATTGTTCAAACAGAAATCCTGACTTTCACGTCTGACTGGTACTAGCGTAAACGTTTTAGAGATGAAAACTTCGGCTGCAACCTCTCTTACACGAGTCTCTGTATAAGGGGCCATCCATAAATTACGTAAGGTATTTTGGGGTGGGAGGGGGTCAACGATTTCTTACTCAGGGGTAGGGGGTAATAAATCCAGTCTCCCGTTGTTTATTACGCGACTTGTTTCGTTTCCATCTATAATTTCTTCTTTAAAAAGTTCTTGATTCCTCCTTGCTAATGTGGTCTTTTTAATGATTATCCATAGATTCGGCATGGCCAACAATGAAGGGAACGGCAAAGTGGCGAGGAACGAAGAATGACATATGCATACATATTTATATTCCTGATACTGCTACGGCCGAGGTATTGATATTGAAATTTAACCCTCAATGTAACAATATTTTTATAACTAAGTACGAGCCAGGTCTTAAAGGGCTTTACTCTCGGCCATACATTGTTTATTTATAGTGTTCTCAGGTCTATCTGACTCGTACTATACTCGGTACGTTGTTGATTTTTTCCAAGTGTTTTTTTCTTTTGAAGAATATAAGTCGTGTTCTCGTGTTTTTATTGAAGGTATAGTTTTGTTTGTGAAAATTTTGATTTCGACTTGTGAAAATATTTACAATGAAAACTATTTTGGAACACCGCTGTTATAATCTCGTTTAACCTGAAAAAGGCTTAGTAAAAACGTTAGTTTAGCTTTAATAAATTGTCTCAGCAATTTAAGGTGTGTTTTGATGGTCTACAGTTTGATCTTTGAGGTGCTACGAACCATATTGTTGAAGTTAAAATCCTTCTAAGAGGTAATAAGGAGCTAATGACCGTGGGAAACGGAAGAAACGTTGCATTTGCCTATCAGAACTAGATAAAGAAAACATGCCAATAAATGAAAGACACTAATACGTAGAAACTGCCCCATTAGGATGTGTACAAATTGTGCGTTCGTCCGTTATTCCGGAAGGCAAAAGTATATTAGCACGAACTAACCTTTTGTTCGTTATGTTGTAAACAACGGTCTTAGACACCGAAGCCGTGAGCTCGAACAGGGATCGAAAAGTTATCAATCAGAAATGCATTGTTAAATAGGCGAAATAGTGTGTTTTAATCCCTGTCTCCGTTAATGGCGGATAATTAAGAAAGACGTGATAAATATCACTGATCTCACTGTTGGAGTAAGAAACCTTTACTTATAACTTTTTATATGTTTAATTAATTATTATCGAATGGCAAGAAGTATAGCCAAGCTTAATTTTGAGGGTAGTGAAGAATTTTAAAATGTTAATAACGAATAACATCTTCGTTAAGTCAGACCTCTCTCGAGATATGACAAGACACCTTTAAAACTCTTCCAGGTGGTTGCCTTTACACACAAATGGCACGCCCCTTGACTAAAAGGAAAATGGCGGACGTGTGTTCAATTTTCTTTCAACATGATGTGGCTTAATTACATTTTTTAAATTATATATCATGAATAAAGAAAGAAAAAGTGTATTTGGTTTATATATATAATAATAATATGATGATTTTAAATTACAGATGAGGATGTAAATAAACGATTTAATTTATACAGGTTTTAAATAGAGATCTTTTTAAAACTAATATCTCAAATACTATAGTAGAGATAACAGAGATTTATCACAATGCTACTTCTTTCATTTTAATGTTATCCAGTAGCATTGTGATAAGCCTCTGTTATCTCTTCTATAGTACTGTATTTGAGATATTAGTGTCAACAATTTCGAAGACAAGAAGCTCTTTTATAATGTTTAAAACTGTTATATTGCGAGTACGTAATGTTCTATGTATAATATATCTGTTTAATAAATAGGTAATGGTAAAATAAATAAATAGCGTGGTTGCGGCCGACGTTTTCAACGCGAAAACGTGTACGTCGGACGTTCATCGCCGCCTTCCTGGGAGCCTAGAAGTTTAACAATGGCGTTTGGAACCTCGAGTATGATTCCAAACGCCATTGTTAAACTTCTAGGCTCACAGGAAGTCGTCGATGAACGTCCGACGTACACGTTTCGCGTTGAAAACGTCAGCCGCAACCTCTCTAATAAATTTGCATTTTACTGTTTTATTACGCATGTACAACAATATAATTAGGAAAATCATTGCTTATTCTCCGATAAACTTAAATAGCTATAAAAATTTAATCCATATAAAGACAAACTATTTTTTAAATAATTAATTAATACTACATAAAATATGCTATACAATTTTGATTTAGTATAGCGAGAAATAGTATTTGGGTTGAAAGTTTTGTATTTTTGACAGGAGAAATAACCTTTCTTATGACACGTTGGCTCTACATATTTTGGTAATTTATATAATATTTTGCACTAACAAAAGTAGAATATGGATGAAGATTACTACACCTGTCCTTTATTTATATAGGTTTAAAATATCACTAACATGCCTTTCTTTTATTCTCCACGTTATCACTAATCAGTCTCTACTCTTGCCATCCTACATTTACCTACAGTCGACCCCCCCATAACACTGTTGATTATTCCGTTTTATATGAATTCCATGTTGTACGAGTCACTTAGATTTTACAAATACGTGAGCCGTTCACAGCCCGGCACACGTATTTGTAAAATCTAAGTGACTCGTACAACATGGAATTCATATAAAACGGAATAATCAACAGTGTTATGGGGGGGTCGACTGTAGGTAAATGTAGGATGGCAAGANTCGCCTGTATTTTATGTCAACCTCTAATCATCTAAGTTACGATTTTGACTGCTGTTACAATGTTTATGAAATATTATCCCTCGCTATTTTATTACGCATTATTGGTTATTATTAATCATCACGTGCATTTTATCGATAGATAATCATTTATACCAACGAAACACGTTTACTAACTAAAAGAAACAACTAGCGCCCTCTTACAGTAAAAATTATTGCAATAAACAAATTAACATTCCGCACTTTCGTAAACGTAAATATATTTAAGAAACATTTTACTTACCCGTTTCTAAAAGATTTAACATATTTAAATATGAAGGAATTTTTAAAAACGAGTCCCTTAATCATATCGGAATCCTATCTACAATGAAAAGTTTCGTCGACTTTGATCCGTGTCGTCATTACCTCCGACGGCATCTGTCGACGAAAGTCGGAACTAATTACTTTAAAAGCAATACAATACTCGCCATTTATGTATATTCGGTATGTGAAATTATAAATACAAATGAATTTCGTGCGCTTAAATGTTAATTACGAGAGAGACATAAACGTTGATATTAAAGTGTAAGGTAGTCAATCCCTCGAAGAACTTTAATGTCATATTTGGCGATTAATAATACTTAAGCGCCGGATGTGACGTCACATTTCCTAACACCACGTGTTGAAATTACCCAGTGACGTAGCAATTCGTAGACGGCGCTTTCGACTGACGTGAGGAACAGGCAAAGTTGTGGGAGGGGCGGGTTTTTTACCTTCTGCAATTAATGTGTAAACACGAGGAGGAATCGCTGGGATTTATTTCATGAATTCTTAACGTATGCTCTGGAGACAACTTACGGAAGCAGGGTTTGACACGTGCCTTGGGCACCGACCTCGTGGGCTCCGGAACGAGTCCGTACATGTTTTTGTAATCACTGTCGAATCGAGCTCTAGAAATGAGGTTTTAGCCAGGCACCAAAACTGTTTGGTACGGTATGACCCAGATGTACACAGAAACACCAAGAGTCACTTTGACTCTGTAATCTAGTTCACCCCACACATTATAATCCTACTCACAGAACCACTTCTTGTCCACATTGGTTGCTCTGCCATTTTGTGAAATCTCTTCCTAGAAATGTGGTTCTTTGGAGATCCGAGTGGAGTCTTGTTTTGCCCAAACCACGTTTAAACGGTTTAGACGATATTGCCAGATTCCGGACCACTCGACTTATGGCACAGTCTTTGTACTAACAACTGTAATTTATTTGGGATGCCAAAGAAACACATCTCCGGAAGGAGGGTTTTGGGTGACATGCATTTGTTATGACATTGAGATGGGGGGTGTCGACGAATGCCGACACAGGGAGGGGAGGTTATCCAAGTGTTTGCACATACAAAATAATTCATTTATTTTGGAATATTCTATTGTTAATTGACATTTATTGTAAATATGATTACTTAAATGGGAGGAGGAATCAGTGGTGATGACAAAGTGTATACAAAAGGGGTGTGGGAGTAAAAATGAAGCAAAATTTGTCATCACAATATGTGCATGCCACCTTAACTAGATGATGAAGTGTTAATGAGCTCCTTACAAATAGGATCTTTATCTTTTGCATAATATGTATGTTCCTTCTTATAGTGTGGTGAAAATTGTAGCATGTGTACTTACCATTCCTCAACAACATTCCGATCAATGGGAGGTTGGTTCTGCTATTTTGTCTTTTAATCCTGCCAACCCATAAAGGTAAGGGCACACTTGGGATGTGGAAATGGATTGAAAGGAGAAATCTGCCTGCCCCGTCCACCCGAGTGCACACTTATCCCAAAGTCACCTCGGCATTGGATTTTGTGCCTGGAAGAGCGAGATCCAACGCAAAGACATTTGAGTCTCAAATGATATTTTATCTCATTTAAACTGACACCACCTTCATTTGTGACCTGACAAACAAATCAAGTGTTAATGTGATTTTACAAAATAAGTAAATTTTGCCTTATCAGAATATTCAGCAGAATGCTATATACAAAATCTCTATCATCACATAAGATGACTCCTTCCGTCAACGACTGCTACTTACGCACAATGCATTCTGTCCTCTCCATACTTCTCTAGAAGTTTTAGAATATTTTTCTGTAAAATAAAATAGAATAAATAGTTTTATTTGGACAACAATTACAGGATAAATGATTAATTATCCTGTAATAACTAACATTACTTTGGAAATTCATAGTTTTTATATGAGGAGTTTACTCACTAGTAGTAGAATGAGGAGTTTTGCAATGCTGTGAGCCAGTAGAACTCGAGCGATTCAAGTGCAGTGTGAGCTCTTTGCCATTGTTACACCCTCCCAGGATATACAAAAAACCCAAACTTGCACACACATCCCTCTGCTACGAAATTGGCCAATACAAACCAAGCTATTTCAATTTTTATATTAGTATAAGTTACTTTTAACCTTAGTTCTTCTATCCTACTGCATTCTCCTTGAAGCATAACTTTTAATTAAATTAAATATATAATTTGCATTGTTATTCAATATTATATTTTACTGTGGACACATACCCTTCCTAAATAGCTATACATAGGCTTTCTTTATACTGTATGAAGCATAGAGTTATAGTATACAATAACTGAAAATTATTTAAATTACAAAATAGAAAATTTTCGTAGGAGTTATTGACAGACATTACGATGCATTTAGAAGCGAATCCCATGAAATATTTAGCAATTATCTTACGTTTTTGCTCGTACGGTTACAAAAAGAATCAACTTTTGACTTTTTAACAAAGAATTTTCTGAAAACTTATTTATAGTTTCAAATATAAGGTCCTCAAGTCTACAGTAAATAAATGTTCACAATTTAGCTAAACATTACAAGAAATGTAATGTGTAGCTAAGTAATAATGAATGTAAACAGCTTACAGTTTTGCCAAATACCTTCTTGTGAGTAAACTTCTCATTTATTCACCTAGTATGTCAGCTTATTTCTCTTCCGTGGATTTTTCCTCAAAAAATAATCTATGTGAAAATAAAACAAATTGATAAGTCAAATTCTAAGAATTGAAATTTAAATGCTTTAAATCATACCTTTATTTTATTCGAAAGGTTGAAAGTGTACGTCCGAGAGAGTCCGATTCTTAAACCATTTAAAATTACCTGTGCAACTAAATCTTGGAAGTAAAAATTTATACGCAAACACTCATATTTTCGTAATATTTATTTGTAAACATTGTAGCAATCTGTAGATTTTTCATTGTTTAAATATTTTTGAAAATTTTAATTTTACATCCAAACAAATTTACTGTTTTATAAAAACAACTTACAAGAATTTCTTTTCTTCCAGTTGAAATAAACAAAATATTGCTTAAAATTGGTAACAGATGTGGTATAAATTACTCTTCTGCAAAATAAAAATAATATAAATTATATACAACTTTTAATAATGTTCCTAATTAACTTGATATGCATATATTTCTTGCTCGTGCATGGATCTCTATTGATTTGCAGCAATTTGAAACGCTCGGCGTTAAATACTAATTAACAAAAGTTGCATCGAAACATATAAATTATTCTCGTGGCAAAAGGGATCGACTCTTTCGAGAGGCAATTATAAATAAATCGATAATTCATCATCTGAATTTCGGTTGTCTTCGTTTTTAGCGTCACAAAAAATATCTATACTCTTCCCACAAATGTTCAAAAATGTAGACTATCTTAGGAAATATACAATATAGGAAAAATATATAAATTGAAATATGACTAAATGTCACAAATACGGAGAAACGAGAACACTAGTCATTACGATACGATTCTGTCAATATTTACAAAATATACCAACAATATTACATAAACATATTAAACATTTTTGATCTACAGTTACTAGTAAAAAGGGGATCGGTTACATTGATTACTGTAAAACATCTTTAAAGGAATCTACGTTTTCTCTGGTTTTCGTCTCGTTTCGCTTTCAAAAAATTTATTGCTCAACGTGGAAGTGTAAAGATAAATTAAAACATTTATCCAGAAATGTACAAATTTTTATAAAAGAAAAGTTTGTTTCTTATAAACTGAAGACTGCATGGTAGACGCAAAGCGTTTTCTGGTTCATTCTCGTGATGGAAAAATTCTTTACGAAATTTCCATATATAATATTTTTTTTTTCCTAGTTGTGACAAAGACAAGGAAGTGATAAATATATGCAGGGACTGCATATCACAGTAATTGTTCCTCGGTAGGAGTCTTTCCATTTAGTCTTTAAGAGCGATTGATGGCACAACAGAATTAGATAAAATTATGATGTAAAACCATCAATATAAATTGATTTTTTTGGTTATCGGTTTACGGCACATGTGGCAAATCTTAAGCGTTTGAGCACAACTGATGCATGCTCCGTGGCCGCAGAGGAAGGCGATGTTTCGCCTTCTTTCCATGCAGATCGAACACGAGTGAGCTTCTTCGATTTCTTGTATTTTATTTTCTAGATAGCGTAATCTCTCTGCACTTGCCTGTCTTACTTTCGAAGATATCACTCTACCACCTAGAAATAAAAATTAAAATGTACAAACTATTTTACACATCAATTAAAATGTATATACACAAATATTTGAAAAGAATTCTTTATACTGTATTTAATTATTGATTTAATTGAAGCAGTGTTTTCCATCCACCAGTCCACAGAAAAATATTTGATTGCACCAACACTGGCACAGTTGATTACAGGTGATGCTTAAATAGTAATCTAGAATTATTGAATATACTTTGTCACATTTGGTAACTCCAGATAAGCATAATTCATAGTCTCATATAATTACTAATCCATAATTTTACTGGTTTGCGACAAGTAAAAAGCCGAGAAACACTGCTATATTAGATCAGACTCAAGATGTAGCAATTAAAAAACAATTGTTCTATCTCATTTGTATGTCATTAACTTATGTATCAATTTTTAAAAAAAGTTGCTGTCTGACTTGTGTTTAATGTTGCCACTTTCTGAAGAATGATATAAAAATGCCATGATTAAGATCTGCAATATAATAATTTTTTTTAATTAGTCGAAATATTGATTATTCACTATCAACAGTATGTAAAATTTTTATTTAAATCTTGTAATTTTGTCCAGAAAATTAACAGCAAAACATGTATTTTGTTCCTTGTTAATTAATATTACAATAATTAAAAAAAAAAAATACTTTTTACAGTGACAGCATTTTTAATCCATCTGATTATTATTATTGGGATATCTACTTTGTGAATTTTATTGATTTAGTTTTGAAATGTTAAAGTAACAAAAAACTTAAAAAAACAATACTTTTTACTTTCAATTCTTAAACATTATTATGATCTCTTTAAATAGATGAAGTGTTAAAAATGAATTAAATGCAATATTTGCAGATTTTACAAATCATGAAATTAAATTAAAATGCTTTATTGCTAACCTGGGCCTATTTTCTTGTGTATCGACTCCTGACAAGCGATACACTTTTTCATTCGAACACAACAATCTTCACAAGTGACGGTATGACCGCACGGATCAAATGTAATGCTTGCTATCATTTCACAACATATTAAACAGTCACTTTCTGTCTGATTAGATTCTGCTGCGGAAGATCCAGGATCGCCATTTTCCCGAGCGATGGAATGGGCTTGAGCACTAAACGTAAAAAAATATTCACTTATTAATTTATTTAGCCGACAAAACATTAATACTGATTTAAAATGCAAACCTATTTAAAGATGAGTAATATAATAGTAATTCTTTTAATTTGTGATTATCGGAAAGAAGCTCTAGAGGCGTTTTTCCTTTGTGATTTTTGTGGACATGTTTGCCACCTTCTTGAGCAATAAAACATGCAATAGCAAATCCGTTACATTTTTCTAGTCCCTGGCCATTTAAATGTTCGACAATCTGAAATTACACATTTATAAATATGGCGGTTAACATCATTATCGGAATTATTTTCTCAACACATTACCCCACTAATCGTTTGTGCTTCTTTAATATCTACTTCTGACTTCTGTTTCATTAATGCTAAATGCATTCCTGTATCTCCGTCTTCATCTTCTGCATTAATATTTGCTCCGAATCGTACTAGCAATTCAATAAGAGAACAATGCCCTTGACTTACTGCTAGTAATAATGGTGTCTGTTTTCTGTTATTCCTAATATCTACTTCGCTTTGTCCCTGTATTAAATAATAATGTATTATAATAATGATATAGCATCTTAATTACCCGGATGATCAAATAAAAATAGAACTCGTGTGAAGTGATACGAGAAATCTAGTAATGCTGCAAGTCAGACTTGGCGAAGCTGCAAACTGGCATTACCAAACTCTTCATGCTGCTGTACTCGAGTTCTAAATTTTGTTTGATCATTCCGTATAATTAGTGTTTAAATAACATTTTCAATACCTGGGTTAATAATGTCTCGGCTACTTGATAGTGACCATTGAGAGCTGCTAAATGAAGTGCAGCAAAACCATCATCTTTCTTTACATCTACAATTTGCCTCGTCTTTGCTAGTAACCTTTCTGTAGCGCTGTTTAAAAAATTTTTTTAAAATTAATTAACAGTGCAATCAAATACCTACAAATATAGAAATTTCAAACACAATCACATGAAAACTTACAAATTGTTTCCCTTTAAAGCTGCATGGTGAAGAACATTAAAGCCTCGCTTGTTTTTTAAAGAGAAATCAATCTCTGGTACATTTATTAGTAAATCTATTATTTCCACATTCTCTTTTCCTATAGCATCGTGAAGTGCCGAATCGCCGTAAGAATCCTGTAAATTATTTTATGACTACAAGTTAACATTCTTTTTTTGACAAAATTATTCTTGAAAATATTATATTGGTTTGGAATCTCATTTAAAGGATTAATATCAGACATGAACATCTATGTTCTTTCTGTGTATGAAAGAACATATTATAAATTTAAAATAATTAACCTTGTGAATTTTGTTATTAATTATTTTGCTTTATGTTAACAAATGTAATTTGGAAGTCATAAATGAAGAAAAAATGAATTCCATGCAGGATTTTAAGGATGAGACAAGGAAATTTAATCGTTATTTATAACATAAAACCATTAATATACTCCTGAAAACAGTTTTCCAATTGGTCATATTAAATAATAAATTCTGCTTTATTGGAATGGATACAATGATCAAATATATCCCAAAAAACCTAAATACAGGGTCTTCCAAGATAAATGCTACCATTTTATATTATTGTAATTATGTTAATTATTATCTGAGAACATTA